CGCCCGCCGCCAACCGCGCAACGCCGCAAAAAACGGACGCCCGCCGCAAACCGCAAATCCGCAAATAAAGGCCGGCCGCCGGCAACCGCAAAACGCCGCAAAAAACGGCCGCCCACCGGCAACCGCAAAACGCCGCAAAAAACGGCCGCCCGCCGCAAACCACAAAACGCCGCAAAAAACGGCCGCCCGCCGCAAACCGCCGCAAAAAAAACGGCCGCCCGCCGCCAAACAAACACCGCAAAAAACGCAAATACCGCCGCAAAAAACGCCCGCCCGCCGCCAACCGCAAAACGCCGCAAAAAACGGCCGCCCGCCGCCAAACGCAAACACCGCAAAAATGCAAAAACGGCCGCCCGCCGTCAAACGCAAACACCGAAAAAACGCAAACACCGCCGCAAAAACGCCCGCCATAGGCAAAACGCAAACACTGACGCATTAAGACAAATATGGCGCCCTGCGGCATATGTGGTGCATTCATGTCTGCCGTGTAAGCAGCCATCCCTTAATTACAGCGCATCCTAATCGTCCAATGTTCGACAAAGTTGCGCAAATTCTGCGCTTTGCGGCAAAAATGGCGCTTTGAGACAAACGTGGCGCACTGCAACAAACATGGCGCATTCGTTCATGTCGCTTAACAATTCATCCACCCAACAAATTCTAGCCCAATCGGACTTAAACTGAAAAAGTTATGTACATTTGAATATTTCACATAAAATATCTCCGCAACGGAGGTGCCCAGATTTGCATAGTGATTGTTCTTAATTGAAAAGTCCCAACCTTCGGATATCCGAAGGTTGGGACTTGAATTGTGAAAAACCGCCCGCCCGCCGCCAAACGCAAACACCGCAAAACGCGCAAAACGGACGCCAAAACGCCAACGCAAATGCCGCAAAAAAATCGCCCGCGAAAACCGCAAAAAAAAACTCAAAAAACGCAGCAAAAAAATCAAAACCGCCCGCATCGCACGCACCCCAAACGCCAAAAAACGCCCGTCCGCCGCAAAACGCGAAAACCGCAAAAAAACGCAAACCCCGCCGCCGCAAAAAAAAAACCGCATCGCCCGCCGCCAACCGCGAAACGCCGCAAAAAACGACCGCCCGCCGCAAACCGCAACACCGCAAATAACGGCCGGCCGCCGGCGACCGCAAAACGCTGCAGAAAGCCGCCCGCCGCAAACCGCAAAACGCCGCAAAAGAAACGGCCAACCGCCACACACCGCCGCAAAAACGGCCGCCCGCCGCCAAACGCAAACACCGCAAAAACACCCGCATGGCCCGCCCGCCCGCCGCCAAACACAAAAACCGCAAAAAACGCAAACACCGCCGCAAAAAAACGCCCGCAACGCCCGCCGCCAACCGCAAAACGCCGCAAAAAAAACGGCCGCCCGCCGCCAAACGCAAACACCGCAAAAAAAAACGCAAAAACGGCCGCCCACCGCCTAACACCGGAAAAACGCAAACACCGCCACAAAAAAACGACCGCCGTCCGTTAAACGCAAACACTGACGCCATTGACCTCTATTGACCTCTATTAGGTATTATAGAGGTCAATGACTGACGCATTAAGACAAATATGGCGCTCTGCGGCAAATGTGGTGCATTCATATCTGCCGTTTAAGCAGCCATCCCTTAATTACAGCGCATCCTAATCGTCCAATGTTCGACAAAGATACGCACATTCTGCGATTTGCGGCAAAAATGGCGCTTTGAGACAAACGTGGCGCACTGAGTCAAACGTGGCGCATTTGTTCCTGTCGCTTAACATTTCATCCACCCACCAAATTCTAGCCTAATCGGACTTAAACTGACAATGTTATGCACATTTGAATATTTCACTGTAAGATATCTCCGCAAAGGAGGTGCCCAAATTTGCACGTGTGCCATGTGACCGCCGGTGGTGTAAGCAGGACTTGTCCCCTCACTGATTGCACCATTTCAGTGTTCCTGGCTTGTGCTGTTTTCGTGCTATAAGGCCACAAATCGGCAAACACACGATAATCTGGGAGGTACGCGACTCAAACACGTGGCCACGTGGCACGTGCCGGACCTCTGATAGCTTCACCGCTCACGCCACGTGATGACCCATCGACGTGGCCATCAGCATGTAAAAGATGACCCCGGCCGGTGTCACCGTCTCTGAACAGTGGACGGCTAAACTCGAAAAACGGGAAAATTTAGGGAAATTTCACCTTTGAATATATAATTTCCCCAGAATTTTGAATTTTTCATTTTACAAAAAATCCGAGATAGCAGTTTTTTAGCCCCCTTCATTCTGTGCCTATACCCGTTTTCAGATCGACCCTATCATAAAACCTGACGGCCTGACGGCTATTTCCCCCATTCCTTGCATTTCACAATGCTAGTATATTTAAGCACCAAAATTGACCCCGTGCCACGGCACGTGCAATAGCACGTGGGCCACGTGACCACTAGTGCGACAAGCTGGACTCATCTGCTCACCGGCTGCACTGATTTGGTGTCGCTAGGTGGAGTGGTTTCCACGCCATAGGACCCCCAGTTGGCCAATGTCGCATTTACCACGAGGTTACCCCATCAAACACGTTTGCACGTGGCACGTGCTTTTCAATCGCCCCATATCTGACCCATACCACGTGGTAGCCGACACCCCGGGACACAACATATTCGAACATTTTCAAAATCTAACGTGGAAATTTTTGGCAAAATCGATTTGAAAATAATTTTTCGAAAATGCCATAGGCTCAACATGGGGTAACTGTCGGCGTCGATTACCCGAAATTTTGTCATTTATATTTTAAATAATTACCCCCAGAAGGTGAGGTGCCAGCCAAAGAACTGACCCTAAAAATGTGGACAAATATTACTGAACAGATTTTGCGCAAATCGCATTTTCAATTTTTCCCCATGTTAACCCTATGGGAAAATGCACGTGCCGATTACCCCAAAACGGGTTAATTATATTTCAAGCAACCGGTACCAGCCGGTAGCTCCCCCATAGGGGACCAAACGCTGAAAATGGCAAGAAAATCTAACGAGCCGTTTTCGAGGGTATCAAGATGTCCTAAATCGCGGCAGAAACGCTAAACACCCCCCTAGAGAGGTAGCTCAGGTTGGGATTTTCAATAGAAAATCACAATTCTAAAGAATAGTGATTGTCTAATTGAAAAGTCCCAACCTTCGGATACGTAGGAAACTGATATGGGTGAGCAGTGAGTCTGAACAGTGAGCAGTTGACCAATTTATAGGTAGGTATTGGCACTACACAATATAAAACAGAAACCATTTTCAATAGTTGAACAAATATTGAGTTAAAAAATAATGGCACACTAACTGATTTTGCTAAACTAAAAACTTAACAAAAACTTAAGCAATTCACAACTAACAATGCATCATCCACCACCTATCATGCGCTGCCAAGACCGAAATTGTATCACAAGCAAAACCATGGCTATATCAGTCGGGCGCACTGTGGTATCTCCGATTCATTTATGGAGACGTTTCTATTATTGGAAACGTTTCCAATTTTGACTACTCTTCTGTTCCAAAAATGGAAACGCTCGTTCCATAAATAGAAACGCTAACATCTCCGCACATATTTTCTTGCCGAGGGTGGCTGGATTTGATGTCTAACGACTGTTTCGCGTAAAACAAGCTCAGATACACCAAGAGCACTTGTCTTCTTGCATGGAAAGCTGTCGTATGCATTCAAATTCACGCCTTTAAAATGCTCCTGAATCGTATCCATTTATGGAGACGTAGTTTCCAAAAATGGAAACGCCGATGTTCCAAAAATAGAAACGCTGAAGTTCAAATGTGTGCAAACTTAGCTTAAATGTGTTTTTAAAATTCACATGCAACTAAAAATTTGATGTTTTGGGACTGGTTTAGCATCTCGGCTCTCGGCAGTTACTTTGGACGTCGGGTTCGATAATAATACATTACGCGCCACAACTTAAGCACATTCAAAAGTCAACTAAAACTAAGATTTCCCAGAAACTACTGGACAGATGTGGTCCAAAGTGGGCAATACATAAAGCGTAGATATCATTTCAATATATAAAATTGATATCAATGTTACACATGAGCTAGAATGAATAAATTCATCGTCAGAATACAACGATATTTGGTGTGACGACGGTGCAGACCTTATTTCCATCCTGCTTTTTACGTATTTGCACGGAGATTTACGTTGATCCGAGCCTACGATCATATTCAGCACATTTGAAATATCATAAAATGCCCACTTAAGTCTCCAAATAGGGCTTTGCAACAACTTTCATGCGATTTAATCAAAGATTGACGACCACCAGGCCGCTGGTACACCGGAAAATGCAGCGTGAAAACGAATGAAAAACTGAAGTTCCCGGTGATGTGGTTGTTCCAATCAATGGGCCAGTCTTTCAGTAGTCTGTTAAAAACGTTATTTTTTGTTCAAAACATTCATCAATGTTATAAATTTCGATTAGAAAAAGGTGTGATTTTTTTTATCACGTCAACATGTTATAAGCATCGCCTCGTTCGTTAACTTTCGGTTTTCTGATCGGAAAGTCGGAGAACAGGAACATAAACTAGAATGCTGGCTGTCGATTGGTGGTATCCTGTGCATGCCAAATTGCACCAATCAATGCCCAGTTTGCTTTATAGGTAGCGATGCACACAGCGTCTCCATTTATGGAACAGACCGTTTCTATTTTTGGAAACGGCGTATCCATTTTTGGAACATTGTTCCAAAAATGGAAACGTTTCCATAAATGGATCGGAAATACCACAGTGTGCCCGACTGATATCAGCGGCATGTATAAGCTTGAGATATGATGTGTCAAACATAGGTATAACAAACATATAAAAACATAAAATTAAACATATAAATAAGTGATTAACCATTCAATTACGGAAATTATACGATTTTTAACGACATATGGCGAGAAGCAATGTGCGCCAGTATCGTCAACAGCCGCTCTTTACAGTCATATTTTAAGCCACTCAGACCCTCCAACCACAAAAAAACCTTACCAATCTTACCTTGCCATCTTCCTCCATCTTCTGAAACCTTCCAATCTGCTCCAAAGGGGCTTAACTTTTCAAAAAACAAGGCAAACGATCCTACGACGCGACGCCGACCATTGTTTTGAATAGCACCCGCTCCCCCGCGTCCTTAGCGCTCGACACCACTGCCACCTAGCGGTGGTCACAAACATCGAGGAGTTGCCGATCCAGGTACTACTTCATCCATGGTAAAACAAAATCGCTCCCATGTCACGGTCGTCAAGTTAGATGTAAGTGAATCCTAATCTATAATCTAAGATTCGGAATCAGGTGAGCCCCTACGATTTGGACCAAACTTGGTCAGTGGATAGTACGTAACGTCCTGATTACGATGCACCCAAAATCTAAGCTCGGCCCGCCATATTTACGAAGTTACGGATGTTTCAATTTCAAGGTCATTCGGGAGAGCCCCTACGATTTCCGTCAAAATTTGTGTACGGACACTCTAGATGCTCCTCATTACGAATATCACAAAATTTAAGCTCGGCCCGCCATATTTACGAAGTTACGGAGGCTTGAATTTCAAGGTCATTTGGGTGAGCCCCTGCGATTTCCGTCAAAATTGGTATACGGACAGCATATTTACGTCTGGACAACGAGTTGCGGGGAAAAGTGCTGTTTGTGTTGCAGTTTTAGGAGCCGGTGATTAGGCTGGATTTTTTTGGTTACTTTTTCGTTCCGATTCATGTATTTCATAGTGTTTGGCTTTTGAATATTTTAGTTCTTTCAGATAAATATTACTTGCCTTACAACTTTTGTAAAAACGTTTCATTTTTTATAAGCCGACGTTTAGAGTCCTAAAAATACATCAGCACTACAATCATTGTAAACAAACAAATGGAGCACCACTTGGCTCTGTTCCAAGGCCATTTTTTAGTTTATCTGGTGGTTTTCTTGCTCTTGTACGTCGTTTTGTTGGATGTTTTGAATCCCTTAAGATTTACTTATATCATATTTAAGAAGCATGTTGACTGAAAACAATCTGAAGTATCCAGGAGGCTGACATAGGTCCTGATAACTGAGCAATAGCAATATCAAGTTGAACAAGTTATGAAATTTTGGTTGATAAACGCAAGTTGATCGGGCTCATATATCAGCAAGAAAAAGTAAAATTAAAAGAGCTTATTGTCTAAAAACAAGCTATGATATTGCATACCTTGGAGCAATACTGAAGAGCACGCTGAGCAGGATCATGCCAGAAAATGTTGACTAATGAGCGCATATTGATGTATTGGTATGAATATTGAATGATAACTTACAACAGCAAGATAAATTAGTGCTAACTATCACAAGTTAAAATCTAGAATGAATGGACTTGGGCAGTTTGTTAGATGCTATGCAGATTGTAATGTGCATCAGGTACTCAGTGTCTGGCAAATGAAACATGCGATCATTCCATTGCTACTGGAGGAGAAAGCTTGGATCACTAAATCCACTTTATGTTGATTTTGATGTTAATCATCATCACTGTATTTCTTGAAAAAAGGATTGTAGTAAAATTGTCAATGTGACAATCCATGCAACGATGTAATCATATGTGTTCATAGTCATTCGTGATAGTCATTATTGGTCCAATATACAATGGCAAAGCTCTCAGTCTCAGCGTTTCTTCCTGTGGATGGCTAGCAGTGACTCAGAGCTTAGAAGTATTAGTTTTCTTCACAGGGCTGGGATAAAAAGTACTGAGGGTAATCTTCCACCAAGGAACTTTGACATGGTATGAGATGTAGGCACAAGTAGGTAGGTGCTCAGTTCCTATAGTTAGTAGTTGTGTATGTTTAGTCGGATTAGCTTAGATCAGATTGTTAGTTTTTTAATTTGCCAAATGTCCATAAAAATGTGACCTGAGCAATGAGCATACCTGAACCTGACTAACCTGACAGCTGACCTAACCTCAATCATCACACATATTTGCAGCCTACCCAAGACCTGCATGGCAGTAGCACCCAGTTATAGGTAGGTACTCACCCTAACTCAATCTTACCTGCTAACCTTCAACTTGCCAAAAGTTAGCTCACATTGCCAAGCTGTGTCCAGGGAAACAGTCAACTGAGGAACTGGCTCATTGGGTGGCTGGTGCGGCTGGTGTGAGTCTGTGCATTTAAAGTGTTTCTTCTCTGAAGCTGCTCTGCACTGCTGTTTGTCATGTTAGATGCTCAGAAAATGTGGGAAATGATTACTAAGCTACTTTAGTGCTTTGTTAATGCTCGAGACATGAACAAGTACAGATCCTGCAGGGTACAGCTATGAGTTAGGTGCTAGGTGAGTATGTTATGTGAATGTGCTGTTCCCTGTTTGACCGTAAGTATACAAACAAGCACAAGTTCACAGTTATATTCAATCTCCACATAAACATACAACAAAAACGGCCATATAGCATAACTCCGAACACACCACAGATAACTTAAGCCTTTGAAGGCACAAAAATGTTTTGATTAACAGGACAGGTTTACAATATATCCTCTGTCCTTGGGGGATCTTGCTGCCAAGTTGAGGTATGATGACTGAACTTCAGGATTGATCAACCTTTTCTTGGCCACTGCTTATATACGAGAAAGACCAAATGCTTGTTTGTTTTGATTTACAGGACATTTATACAATATATCCTCTGTCCTTGGGGGATCTTGCTGCCAAGTTGAGGTACGATGACTGAACTTCAGGATTGATCAACCTTTTCTTAGCCACTGCTTATAAACGAGAAAGACCAAATTGAAATGCTTGTTTGTAAACTGCGTTGAAAATTTAATGATCCACCTTGAATTCTGACATGAAGGCACAAATGAAATAGTTCCCTCTCCTTTTGGAATACACAAAGCAAAATATTTAATAAATTTTAGTGGATGGACAAGAGCAATTAGCATAGCTTTCCCTCAAGTTAACTTCTGGCACTGGCTGTTGATGAATTATTACACTGACGCTTATTCGCTTCACATTTTGTAACAAACGCGCTAAAACTGCAATATAACAGCACTATATGCTTCTTGACAAAATGCAATATTATTAAAAATTTAGCCCTGATGGCATTCATTCTTGGTGGAAACGTAATTACAAAATATTTTGTAGTAACTATTGAATTCCGGCCGAAAACAGTGCACGGTTTAAAAAAGAATCATTCCAATGACGGTCCATTCTTGCGGTCCTGAAATCGCCACTATTTCCGGCCTCTCCAACGCAACTCGTTGTCCAGACGTAAATATGCATACGGACATATTCCATCCCCCTCATTACAAATATCATAAAAGTTAAGCTCGGCCCGCCATATTTTTCAAGTTACGTAGTCACAAAGTTACGGAATTTCAAGGTCATTCGGAGAGCCCCTCCGATTTTCGTCAAAATTTGTATGCGGACACATTACATGCTCCTCATTACGAATATCGTAAAAGCTAAGCTCGGCCCGCACTATTTCAAAAGTTAATGAAGTTTGAAACTCACTGAAATTCAAACCTCAGTAACTTTTGAAATAGTGCGGGCCGAGCTTAGCTTTTACGATATTCGTAATGAGGAGCATGTAATGTGTCCGCATACAAATTTTGACGAAAATCGGAGGGGCTCTTCGAATGACCTTGAAATTCCGTAACTTTGTGACTACGTAACTTGAAAAATATGGCGGGCCGAGCTTAACTTTGATGATATTTGTAATGAGGAGGATGGAATATGTCCGCATACCAATTTTGACGGAAATCGCAGGGGCTCACCCAAATGACCTTGAAATTCAAACCTCCGTAACTTCGTAAATATGGCGGGCCGAGCTTAAATTTTGTGATATTCGTAATGAGGAGCATCTTAAGTGTCCGTACACAAATTTTGACGGAAATCGTAGGGGCTCTCCCGAATGACCTTGAAATTGAAACATCCGTAACTTCGTAAATATGGCGGGCCGAGCTTAGATTTTGGGTGCATCGTAATCAGGACGTTACGTACTATCCACTGACCAAGTTTGGTCCAAATCGTAGGGGCTCACCTGATTCCGAATCTTAGATTATAGATTAGGATTCACTTACATCTAACTTGACGACCGTTCCCATGTCATTGGGCAAGTATTTCAGCTTTGAGCTGAAGTTCGGGAAATGAAATTTCCAATGAACACGGTCCACATATAACTTGCATTGATATGACCCAAGCGTATTTACAAACTGCAACCGAGCTCCGCCGTAGGGTATTTTATTTCCGCCGTAGTATATTTCAGTTGGGGTATTTTCTACCATACATCTGCCTGAGCTTGAGGTAATTACAATTTGTCGGCGACGTTAAAAATGATGCACCTTTTTTCGCAGTATAGGTTATCGCATGTGCATATTTTAGCCTTTTTGGTTGCGCTTTTCCCTTGCCCGTATAGGGGTAGGCGTTGAGCGGACCCCATCGGTTTTTCGTGAGTAACTCGCGTAAAAACCGTCCGATCGCGACGAAACTTTCAATACCCCTGATTTTATCAATTTTACTCCTACCCTGAAAATTTCATGACCCTGACCCAAATGACCTTTGACCTGTGACCTATTTCTCGAGACCATGTTTGGCCCGAATCGCGATTCGGCGTATGTCGGCTCGCATTAGCCGCGCGTTTGCAGTCTTTACGTGGTTTCAAGCGTTGAAACATGTTATATGATGCTGGTCCCATGCATTAGGATGGGTGTCACATGAAGGTCAGGTCAGCTCAATGACCTTTAATGACCTCGGCTCACTTTTTCGAGTTTAGCATGTTTCTAGGCTAGTTTTTGGAGCTGATTTCGAATTTAGCAACCATTTGAACATTACAGGGGGTGTAACGAAATTATCCGGACATCTTTCTTCCCGCTGTAATTAAAAAGCAAAACATTGTGGTACTTTTTATTTTGACTGAGCATGTAGCCACCTTTCATAAACACACAGTGGCGAATGTTTTGGAGCATTTCAGCCAATGGATTCTCCAGCACACTGGCTTTGATGCGGACCAACGCCGTCTAAACCTGTGCCTGCGGTTGGGTGGTGCTTGTGGCGGGCGTCTCTTCAGTCACCTGCTGAACAAGAGCCCACAGGTTTTCGATTGAATTGGGATCGCGACTTTTTCCAAGTCATAAGCGTTAGCCCAGAATGATTGAAGGTTCTATCGGCATCACTTCCCGTTCTTTTAGGGACTTTTAAGTAGCGCACCGCCCCGCATGAAGACAGCGTGGCTTGAATCAGGCATCAGTGCGC